CGTGGGGTCCGCCCTGAGGGGAGCGCGCCCTGAGGGGAGCGCGGGCACCGCGGCCACAGCGCCCTGAGGGGAGCGCGCCCTGAGGGGAGCGCGTCCGTGGCGTCCCCTCGGCCGACCCTAGCGACACCGTGAGGGAGCAGACCGGGTGTGGTTGTACCCGTGTTGAAATGGGAGTGTTGTGCATTCGTCCGCGGAGGAGAGACCTCCTGCAGCATCCCTAGCTGGCGCTGAGAAGGCCGAACGTGGCTTTAGAACCGGGGCTGGGGCGTAAACCAGGTAAAGCCCACAGGACACTGAGGGCAGGGGTCTCCCTTTGAGGAGAAACAGCTTTATGCAAGTGCAACCAGCACGGCCATGGACTCTCCTCTTTGACACAACTTTCCTCAGCCTGCTGCCACTCTCCAAGCGTGCAGCATAAGGGTCAGACACCTTACGTCCTTTAGCGTGGGAGAGGAGGGGCTGCTCGGGAAGAGCCTCCCAAAGAGATGTTTCCGTGAGTGGTCGTCACCCCTGCAAACGCACAGATGATCTGAAGCAAATTCTTACCTCTCTGGTACTGCAATTTGCTCAAAGTGGACTGAAATTGCCTAAGAAAGTAATTTTACTAACATTTTTAATCAGTGATCAGGCATTTGGGTTGCTCAGAGGTGATAGATGCCTCATCCCTAGAAGTGTTCAAGATCAGCTTGGGCAGGGCTTGGAGCAACTTGTTCTGGTGGAAGGTGTCCCTGCCCATGTTAGTGTTGGACTGTATGACCCTTAGAGGTCCCTTACAATCCAAACTGTTCTGATTTGAATGTGGCTGTCCCTCATTTATTTGGGGGTTATTTTGACTATTGGGCTCTTATATAAGAGATAGATATCTTTATTGCTGTTTCTGAATGAGAGTGGTTGGAGGTGCTATATTTATTGCTGAACACCCCAATTTCCTGTCTGTCTAGATAACACTGGGAGCAAGAAGTATTTAGCACAGTAGTATCTCATAACCAGTTTTAGCTGCATGTCCTGAAAAATGCTTAAGAAAAAAACTTGGCACAAAAGTTGCTTTTCAGCCTCTTCCAGATCCATTGAGCCCGGGGCAGTTTGTCCCGTGTGAGATTTGTCTCCTTGGGTATCAAAAGTGGAAACACTTTCTTACTTCAGGATTCACTTATTTGCTTTTGAGGGATGAGAATCATTAGGTGACTTTCTCTGTAGAGATTATGAAAAGTCCACTGTCCACCTTTGATTTCTCCAGCCTGCTTGTTAGGCATTGTGAATTTTTTCATGCTCAGCAGAACTTTTGTGTGTTTAACTTCCAGCAAGTAAAAAAGTCCCAATGTGCCTAGGAGAGCAGTTAGGCACGTGCCTCAAAAAACAACCCAGTGCTTTGTTGTGAAAAGCTAAGGCCAACACTTCCTCTGTCTCAAGGCCACTAGGAAATTCCTATGGACTTCTATGGAAGTAGGATGTGCCCTCTCCTCACTGCCAACTCCCTGTCTGGCAGAGGTTTTCCCAGGAAGGGCCATCTGCTGTGTGTAATGAAATCGTCTCTCTTAAAAGTCAGACTGTTCAGTGATCAGACTCCCTGTACCGAGGTCACACTCCAAAACACCACCGAAGCCATCGGCTGGCTTGTAGCTCCCAACAACAAGCACAAACTCGGCCTCCTTTGTCTCCAGCAGGGAGGACTAGCCCAGCACCAGCCTACCCCAGAACGTCCACAAAGAGCTCGAGGGTAAGTGGAGGTGTTGGGGTGTTTGGACTTTGAAAATTGCTGCCTTTTTCTCCTGTGGGCAAATAGAATGTGTATCATAAAAGACAAAGAAAGGAGGAAGAGCAAGTTTTTTTATTATCAATGCACTACATGGGGAAATTTATATTGCTATTGACCCGGAAATGGGATTTGTTATTTCCTTCTGCTAAAGAAGAGCCATTTTTGTTTATCCTGATAGATTTGGGGTTTTTAAAACATACTGTATTTAGAATTCTGCTCACAGTTTCTGAAGCCACACCCTGGTACTATTTCCACCAAGTCTCAGTAAGACAAAATTGCAAAAATTGTATGAAAGCAAGCTTCCTTCTCTAAAAAGTGTGTAAGTGATACCAGGTATCCTGAAAAACACATTTATTCATTCTAAGTATTTATTGCATGGTCTAATACTCATTAGGTAAAAAGTTCATCTGTTCTTGAGAAAAAAATTTGGTCACTTGGTAGTAATAGATGATTCCCAGGTTTCATGAATTGGTCAGTCTGACAGGGTCAGATGCTTGACAGATGTTAAAAATAGATTAAGACCGATTGGTGTTAAGAGTTGTGCTGGGATTGCTTATTTTAATTGCTCTATATTAAGGTGTTTGTTTGACATGTGCAGAGCCAGTCATTTATTGTTCCATTTAGTTGATGAGTTATGGCTGAGGTGTTTTTATACTGTGGTGCAGTTTACAGTGGCTACTGCACTAATCCAAATGTTGTCAAAGAGCCTTGGATATTGGCAATTGAAGAACTGCAATATATTACAGAATTTTTGGCAAGGGCATATTTTCCAGTCATCTGCTTTTTGAACAGCCACAGCTTCACTGATGTTTTTCTTACCTAGACCTCGTTAATCCAATAGATGGGGTGATATCTGGTTTAGATAATACAGTGTTTCTGTAGTTTGGTTTCTGACACTGTGCACTCTTTAACAAGTATGCTGCTTGAGGTGTTCCCTTTGGTTGTGGTATCTCAAAGGACTTTGAGAAGAATAATGTGGTTTTAGTTCTTGTTTGTATTTGAGACAGAACCGAACCAGGCAGAACTCCTGTGAGGTGAAGAAAACATAGAAAATGCGTCATGTAAATCTGTGCACATGTGGGTTCTCATTACTACTCCATCAAACGTTTCACTCATAGTAGGCTCATTGCTGTAGAAACCCTTAGTAAAGCCCTGTGATGAGTGGAGTTCACAGTTACAGTGAATTCTGGAATTCTGCTTTCTGTTCTCTTGGAGATAGTAACTTTTACAAGGTAACAGTTTAAGAATGTAACCATGATCACAACACATTTGGAAAATGTTTTTATGGTATTTCAAGTCAGAAAACTTGTATAGACCAGGAATGGTGGATCAGAAATTTCACGTGGAACTAGGTTCCATTACTTCTTACGGATGCTTAAAAGATTCACAATGTCAGTGTTGGTGAAACTTTTAACCAAAAACCTTTGAAATCTTTGATTTCTATTAAGGGAAAAGTTTAAACAGAGAATATCAGGAAAAGCATTTAAACATAGCAAAACATTCATGGCAACCTTTTTGGAAAGATAAAGTTATATGTTTCAGATCATAAATATATTGTATGTATTTCCATACAGGGCATATAATACTAAATTTAATAAATGTAAATAGGTGTGTAATGTCTGTGTTAATTGTATAACTGAAAAGTCTTATGTTTTGTTTTACTTTTGGAAGAAGAAAAATGTTAAATTTCAAAAGATCACTGTTGAGAGGCATGAAGACTTAAAAAATGTGTAGATTTCCAGACACAAAACAGTCGGCAGGGTGGGAAGGGGGATTGGATACAATTATAGCTGTTGACTTCTTAGAGGAGCTAGATAAAACATATGCAGAACTCTCTAGGAAAGGTAAGACATATTTGAGAAATATTCCAGGGAGAATGGCAAGGGAATTAGTGTTAACCTTGGAGCATAGCAGCATTTAAGCAGGACACTCAGATTTCATAGGTGACAGGTTTTGTGTTATACATATGGTGCTGTAGTTGGTCAGTTTTGGGATCCTGTGGTTAGTGGAGATTCCTTTCTGCTTTTTCTATTGTTTCTGTTCTACTTTTGCTGCTTTCTGTTCTTTTAACCAATATATCTTACATCCTGCTCTTCATACCAGCAAGATTTCTGGTTGGATCTATGTAATATATGACCATTTCTGTTCATCATCACAAGTTCTGTGGTTATTGGTGGTTTGGTATGGAGATATTTCATGTTCATCTTAAATGAAGTCTAATGACATTGACCAGCTTTCTTCATGGTTTAGCTACCTGCCAGCAAAACATCTCTTAAGGGGATGTGTGGAAATGTATATTGTATGCTCAGGCAGGTGGAGAAGGAGCTTTCGCTAAATCTAAGAACAGCAGTAGGGCAGGGCAGGAGAGGATAGACGAGGAGAGGAGATAAATGTGTTGCAAAAGAGTAACTCCAGATCCTAATGTTAAACCTGTGGAGTGAAGGCTGTAGTAGGAAGCTCAGCTGGCAGTTGGGGAGCTGTCTCAGACCAAAAAGCTCAGATTAAAAAAAGCAAAGCACACAAGCACTGACTCTCTAAATGGGATCTGTCTGCTGGAGAAATGTTTGAAGAACAGGTGAGCAGACTGCATGTTGCTCACATCCACATCCTCCTCGGGTGCACCTACATACAAAGGAAAAAGACTGTCCTTTCTGTATGTACAACTTTGGTGAAAGTTAATCCTCAATCACCTAAAGCAAAGGCTTCTGACAGAATCGGTGTGGCCAGCAGCAGTTCAGTTCCTGCAGCCATGGTGCATGTGCTCTGAGGCACACAGTGTTTCTGGAGCTCTCTCTCATGTTTCAGGTATCCCAGAACTGCTGTCAGCTCGGTATAAAGAGCCCAAAGTGTTGCTGATGAAAGGCTGTTTCCCAGTGTGAACCGCTGTGGCATTATCAGTGTCATTCCCTGGCGTTCTGCTGATATCCCCGTGTGGGCTCACTTGGCCTCTCCCTCCCCACCCCTTTGGGCTGGGTGAGTGTAAGGCAGGTCCTTGGCAGGACATGCTCTGAGTGGGAGCTTTGGGGGGTCACAGCTTGGCTCCTTTGAGGGGTGGGCATCCATCGGGTGCTCATTGTGCTGTGGGAATGCATGGGATGGGCCCTGAGCCACAGGGCTGGGGCCGCACAGATAACAGGAGGCTATTCCTGGGTGGGTGGACAGCTCCAGGAAGGTCGAGGACAAGTGAGTGCTGCTGAAAGATAGAGAGAAAAAGGGTGTGAGCTGAGGAGGGCCTGCGCACAAAACAGAGATTACTTCATGAGTAGGTCATAATTAAGAAAAAATGCTTCAGAGAGGTCATAAAGGGAATTTTTCCACTAACTCTAGGGGACATGAACTTCACAGAAAGGCACAGAATTACTTCTGGATTGCTAAAATGCATAAGCTTCCTGTATAAATAATTTATGTGAATATAAAATCACTTAAAAAGGAAGATTTTCGATTTGGTTGTCATTTAATAAAGTAGGAAAAAATGTGATGCAGGAGAGGAAATTTAATGGCCACTTTTTAAGTTTAATTAAGTTTAGATATTTTTGTCAGTTCATTTTTTTTTACTGACATTAGGAATAATCCCACAGGTCCTTCTGAAATCACTAGAAATGTCTTTGTCACCAAAACTACCACAAAATATAAAATAATTTAATTTTTTTTACTTCCATGTTAAAGTGTAATTCAAAACTCTTTTGGTTTCAATTGAAATAAATGATAAAATATTGAAGATATTTGATAACATATAAAAATAAGGTTCAAATTGGGAAATATGTAATTTCAAGGGAAACAGTCCAATTTTATATTTAGAACTGGAATTTCAGACAATAATTTTACCATGAATAGTGAATAGGCTTTTTACAACCAGTGCAGAATTATGAGAAAATATGAATTCTGAATGAAAAATCTCCTCTGAAAATTGACTTGAATTTGTTTTCTTATATATTTGCCTTACAGAAAAACTGATTGGTTTAGGCATTTTGATGCTTTTCCCAGCCATTCTTTTGTTTAATATTATTTGAAACGGATTGTTTTTCACAAACACTGATAATTTCCTGCCATCAAAGGGTTTCGGTGAAGCAGCTCCATCTGCCTCCTGATTTCTTGCTAATCTGACTTCTGCAGGTTTGAATCAGTTCAATATTTCTCCTCAATCACACCCAAGCACAGCTGTTAGGTTACTGTTCTCCCAGCGTTGTTCTCCCATAATCTCAGTTCCCAGGCACTGAGCTCAAGCAGCAGCAGACCCTGCTGAGCATAAACGTGAGCTTCATTTGCCTCAAGGGCTGCCATAAAAATTCCCCATGCTTCTGATCAGTGCAAAATGGAAAATCTGGTTACAGAAAATTAGAGAGCAAATCCAGGCATATTTCTACCATGACCTGCTCAAACCTGGTGTGTGAATTCCTCCTGTGTGGCTGTGCTTCAGTGTCTCCTGTTGTGAGCCAGGACCTGATTCAGCAAGTAACATCACTGGTTTTCAGAGTGAAAGTAGGGACAAGCAGCCACAACATCCTGGCATGTTTAAATGTTCTCATGTCTTTTGCCAGCAAGTGTTCAACTCTCAGCTTATCAGAAAGTGAGTTAATTTTCAGGTTACTAGTCAGCAGCTGATGGTAAATTATCATGGTCTTTTCCATTCCTCTTCCCTCTGTGAATTTCATTGTCATTGAATTTCATTTTCATTGAATTTCATCTTCTGTTACAAGTTTTCCTGATGAGCTGAGAGGGTATAAAACTAAAAGTTCTCTTTACAGTTTCTATCTAAATTCAATTGAATTCTTAAAAAATCTTATTACCTTCTATTTTCTTCCCAGATTTAAAAAAAAAATAGTATCTCTTTGTCTTGGGTGAAAACCCATCATTTATTGCAGTTTTCCTCCTGGAACATTAACTTGCTTTCATGTCTGTGGTTGCATCTGACAGTGCAAGGAAATTCCATGTAATTTTCATATGGAGAAATCTGACAGCTCTTTTCCCCTCAATGTCAGAGTGCAGCCAAACTGAGAAATGATAACTGTCTAGTACAATGGCTTTAGTAAAGGCTCTTCATTAGTCAATCTGCATTAAAAACACGTTGCCAAAGCTCTTTTCAGCTGGGGAAATTACCATGCTTTTAAAATAATTTACAACCTCCAAAAAAGAGGAGAGAGACATCTGGTCCTCTGAAAAACAAAGATGAGAGAATCGTTGAAAGAATGCAACAGGAAACATTAGGCAAATGCATATTTAAGAGGAGAGGATGAACTCTGGAGGGTAATTCCATGGTACTGTAATAAAATGGATGAGGAAAAGATTAATATCACTGCTCCATTTTTATTTTTTTAAATATATTCCTCAGAGTTGAAAAGGAAAGCAGAGTGTAATCAGAAAGGCTGGTCTGGTTGCCCTATCTGCTGTTGGTCTGTGCTCCTTGGTGTACATGGACTCAAATTGTTTGTCACACATCTGATGTTGCGTCCTTCCTGTTAACCAATTTTGTTCCCTACTTTTCACCACCCAGGTGACTGTGGAAAAGGTGTTGGTGGCAGGTGTCACCAAAGGGGGCAAAGATATCTCTGGTTGCTTAGCGCTCTTTCAGGAGAGGCAGACTGCAGCCGGCCATGCAGCCCCGGCTGCTCCACCATCAGGCTCTGGCCCAGCTCGAGGAGCGCTCCTTTGCTCAGCCTGCCATACCTGTGACACGGAGCTGGGCACCCGCTGGGCCCTGCCTGTGGCCCTGGAGGCAGTGCTGGGAAGGGCTGGGCGGTGGCACTCACAGCAGGGCAGGGACCCGAGCTGGAAACATCACTACAGCAGAAGCACAGAGAAGGAAAAGGAGAATGAACAGAGGTGTCTTTAAATGGCTTCATTGGATTACATGGCAGGAAAGCTTTTCCTGCTGCACTTCACTAATTCTGGAATAGATACAGTCACTGTTTTTCAGAGCTGTTAGTTTGGCATCCTCCAGGAGGTCAGATTTACTTGAAACTGCTACAGTACTTTTCCAGTGTGACCAATGTCACACCTTCTCTAAGGTGATGGATGAGCCAGAGGGCCCCTAGCAGTTTACAAAAACATCTCAAGTATCTAAAATCCTAAGATTTAGGAATGCTAAGGAAACAAGGGCTTTGTTACAGGAAGAGAGAGATGATTCCACATTTCTTTGGATTCAGCTAGTGGAAGCCTTTTGGTGTATTTCACTTGGATTTTATGTGAATTCTGCATTGCCACACCACCGTGCTACTGCATACCCACTTGAGGGGAAAACTTGATATGAGCAGGAAATTGTAGCCAACCTGCCTCCTTTCATTGTTCTTTCAGCACAGGAATGACAAATGTCAAGCCAGAGCACAAGAGAGTTGTTTTAAACAGAAATTGCCCTATAAAGTCTAAGCAGGCTGATTGTTCCAGGTATTTCTACAAACAGAGTTTGGGATTTATGTCCCTATGATGCAATTCAAATAATAGCCTGCTGTTGTGCCAATGTGACTACCAAAACAGCAGGTAGCTGTAGCAGTGGTGTACATGTGGAAATGTACGTTGTCTGCAGGGTCCTGACTGCATTTAGAAAAGTTGAAAGGCCATGTACTAAAGCACCTGTTGTGGTGTGTCCTGGGATCACGACAAGGTGCCACACGGACACGTGGGTGTGCTCAAGGATTTGTTCTCCTAGCACAGATCACTGCAGACAGTTGCAATGTGCTGCCAGTCAGCGCTATTGCAAAGAGAGCCGGGTTAGGGCTACCACCTTAGAGTCTGATCTTGGGTTTACATAATCATTTCTTGTTTTGAAAGTGCTTGCAAGGTGTCAACTGACCACCTTTGAGAAAATATAGGCATTTCAGAAGTAATTTGAAACTTTGTGTTTCTTTTACTTGCAGGTGCACAGAACAAGATCTGTACTTCATTGACAGCTAGAATGACTTTTCTTGACCCAGAACCAGAAACAAAGAACAAAACTTGCCCAGAATTTGTTGTTGTCCTGAATGAGCTCGAGGCAGACTTCAGGGTAGAATGAGCAAAATGGGAAACATTTTGCTCAGTGCAAGAGTTCTCCCTGTGAGGGTGAGCCTGTGTTGATTTCATCAGGTTCTGACTCTTCAAAAATCATTCAATTACTGTTTGAGAAGCTAAGCAAAGCAGGAGTTTTTCTTTCACTTGAGAAATCCTTCTGATGCTTGCCTAACATAGAAAACAACATGGATGTTAAAAATGTAGTTAAATCCCAGGCAACTTTGTCCTGCCTAAAGGATTTGTCAGAGGATGGTGCTGACCTGCTTCTTTTTAAGGGTGTGATTGACCTCACTGCTGGAAGAGCAGAGGAATACTGCAGCAGACCGGTGCCTCCTCACCCCACAGATGTAACCACTTGTCACACAGGCAACTGTTGCCTTAACACACAGGACTCTGGATCTCCTCAGTCTCTGGCAGATGTCCAGGCATGTAAAATGACTGGGCTGGGCAGACCTCTAACCACGAATTCCCTGCTCGATGAGCAGGCAGACACTTCTGTAGGTAATCACACTGATTTTGGAAAAGATGATTCTGAAAATTCTGCTTCTGTTCTGGAGATTTATGCAGAGAAAGTAACAAGTGTAAATGATTACTTTTCTGATGATGACCTGGAATACTTTGAATGTTCAGATGTGCTTACAGTACATGAAGATGAAATCTGGAAAAAGAAATTACAGTTTTTATTAGAAAGTGATGATGAAGACGATCTAAAACTGAGTAAGGATTGTGATGGGTGTGCTTACTTCCTCAGTGAAATGCCTTGTGTG